AATGATGTAATGTATGGTGATTAACATAACATAATAATAAAAAAATAAAATAAATAAAAATAAAATAAAATAAATGGAGAAAAAAAATTTTCTCCAAGTCATTTACTTCTCCTATAGCAGAAAGGTTAAAAGATAACATTGTTATAAATTTAAAAGAGTATCTGATTTTCCCCTTAAAAACACCCCAACAAGAGAAAGACAAATGACCGGGGTGCTTCTTTTAGTGTCCCCATCTGAAGGGCTGCAGCATCCGGGACCGGCTTTCACCTCTGGCTGCTCTTGGGACACCAATTCTCATGGTTTTGTTGGCACCAGGTGGCTGGAGGGGTGGGTTGGGGGTGAGGGGTGCAGACTGACGGACTTCAGCCACTGACCCGCCAATTCCTGGCAGGTGGGGAAAACGGGGCGGTGGACTGGGTACCGGACCTCATGCATTTTGGAAATGTAGTCTCTGGTAGTCATTCCCAGCCTCTGGTCAGTGATGAATTTGTCTCTACTTGGCAGAAAAATGAGAAAGAAAAACAAGGGCACAGTTGTAAACTTTGTCATGGAGCCAAATGTCTTCACTGTAAAGGACTGTCCTCCTTTTTTTGTGAGGTTATGAAGTCCTCAATTTTTGGATATTAAAATGTCCTTCTTCTTTTTCCCTATCTTGATTGAGGTAGACTTTACATACAAGCAATTGTGCCCATTTTAAAGTGCAGTTTGATGAGTTTAACTATCACTATGGTTAAGACATAACCTTTCCACCCCCCAAAAGTTTCCTGGCCCCCCTATTTTGGTCAACTCCTCCACCAACCCCCCAATCTCCGGCAACCACTGATCTGCCTCCCGCCACGAGTTTTTCATTTTCTGAAATCTATTGTGAAGTTTAGAACATAGAGAAAAGTTGGAATAATACAATAAACGCCCACGTGGTCCACTGTGAGATTTGACAATAAATGCTTCAGCGCGTGCGCTCACCTATTGCTTTTTCCTTTTGAACCGTTTGAAAGTAAATTGCAGACATCATGACACTTTACTCATAAATATTTCAGGATGCAGCTGCTAAGCGTAAGGACAAAATGTCCTTTCTTTTATAAAATAAAGATGAGAGTAGATGGCCATTTAGAAAAAAAAGAAAATCCTTACTTGGCCAAAATAAAGTTGCCAGCCTTCCCCTAGAGTTATTTTGGAGATTGCTCTATGAATGCCAAGTCTGGGAACCACTGGTGACAGCAGTACTCGCTCATCTGGGGTCCAGAGCCTGCTCCAAGCCTGCGCCTCACCTCCAGGGACCAAACGCAGCGCCAGCCAGCTCGCGGGGGTGGCGGATTGGGGATGTTCAGCTTAAGAAGCTCATGGGCTTCGGGCTTAGGTGATCGTCTTAGGGCTTTATTAGGGCACATGCATGAGGAAAACCGGTATACCCGGCTAAACATCAACTACAAAATGAAAATCTTGTATCCTCGTTGCCTCAGTTTCCCTGAAGCAGAGAGCACCTGAAAAGACTGGGGCAACTCTATTTACAAAGAGCGCCAGGGAATCAGCTTTTAAAAGCCACCTTAATTCCAACATGGACCTCTTGGTCAACTGGCCTAAGGAATAGAGGGCTGTTATAGGTTGGGCTGGCTTCGAGTATCTGAAATCATAAATGGAATCCTGTGGGTTCTCAAGTTGGGCAGACTTTAAAAAGAATGTTGTCCAGGGGCGCCTGGGTGGCTCAGTCGGTTAAACATCTGACTCTTGATCTCAGCTCGGGTCTTGATCTCGGGGTCGTGAGTTCAAGCCCTGCATTGAGGCTCACACCCAGCGTGGAGCCGACTTAAAAAAAAAAGTAAATTAAAAAAATCAAAAATAAAAAGAATGTAGTCCACACTCCATCCCTTGTTTGGCTCTCCTCTACAACATCCACAACAAGTTGTTGAATGCTTCCAGGGATGGGGAAATCATTACCATCTTTGAAACAGTGTGACACGTGAGAAAATTCTTTGTTAGGAAGGACTCAGCTTCCCTTCTACTTCCCTCCATTGCCCAAGTTAGTCTAATCTCTTCCATGGGTGACTTATCCGTGATTAGGACACAGGTGTTCATTCCTCATGGACATCGCCACCCTCTCGCCACCCTGGGGTCCCACACCTGGGCAGATTTCGAATGTCCATCTTGAGGCATCGTGCTGAGAATGGCTCTTGGTGCTCCAGGTTTCCATGTTGGACAAACAGCCCGAGGCTGGAGTCCGAGGTTCTGTGGCCCCTGATGAGTCCCCTGAAACCGTGGGCAAGTAGCTGGGCTCACTGCTATTTCCTCTTCTGCCTCTGTAGAAGGCAAGCCCGTGATCTGCCGTCTCACAGGGTTGGGGAGATGACTCAAATGTGCAGAGGAGTCCCTTTTTTAAAGATTTTATTTATTTGACAGAGAGAGACACAGCGAGAGGGGGAATACAAGCAGGGGGAGTGGGAGAGGGGGAAGCAGGCTCCCCGCCGAGCAGGGAGCCCGATGCGGGGCTCGATCCCAGGACCCTGGGATCATGACCTGAGCCGAAGGCAGACACGCTTAACGACTGAGCCACCCAGGCGCCCCCAGAGGAGTCCCTTAAAAGGAGAGTCCTGTGCAGAGTGGGGGCGGGAGGATCCTGACCAACACTTCCCCTGGGCCTCTCCCACGAGAGGCTGATGTGCGCCTTAGTGCTTCTTCATCCTTGTCATGCTACATGGATCCCAACACTAGAGGGGCTTCTAGGGGTCATGAAGCAGCTTCAGGATTTTGTGGCCGAGCACAAATTGAGCAGCTCTCTCCTGAAGCTGTGCACACTTAGGGAGAGGCCTCTCGGAAGAATTGAGTGTTTGTGCACCCCTCCCCGCAAATCTACACGTGGAAGTAGCCCTAAGCCCGTGGTGTGATGGGGTACTGAGAGGTGATCGGGGTTGGATGAGGTCCCAGGGCGGGGCCTTGATCTGATAGGATTAGTGTCCTTGTAAGAGACACCCACTCTCCACTCTGCAAGTGCACTCGGAAGTCAGGTGAGCACAGCAGCGACGAGCTAAGGCCTCGGGATGTAACCTACCTTGTTGGCGCCTTGACCTGACTTCCAGTTTCCAGAAGCGGGAGAAAGAAGTATCTGTTGTCGGAGCTGCCCCGTCTGTGGTTTTTTGTGATAGCAGCCTGAGCTAAGACAAGGGTCCATGCTTTTCTTCAGATAGATCAGCTGCTTGCTATACATGAAAAAAGTTTGAGGGGCACCTGGGTGACTCAGTCATTAAGCGTCTGCCTTCAGCTCAGGTCATGATCCCGGGGTCCTGGGATCGAGCCCCGCATCAGGCTCCCTGCTCCGCGGGAAGCCTGCTTCTCCCTGTCCCACTCACCCTGCTTGTGTTTACTCTTTCGCCTTGTCTCTCTGTCAAATAAATACTTTTTAAAAAAAAACCACAAAAAAACAAGAAACAAAAGTTTGAAAAAAATGGACACTGATCCAGTTTCAAAACTGTCTTTTGCTGGAACTAGACAGGGGTGGTGGTTGAACACTGAATATACTTTAAGATGGTTAGTTTTATGTGAATTTCAATAAATTTAAAACCAGTAAAAAAGAAATACACTTTTTACACTGTGACCCAAAACCTATACATACACGCACAGAACAGTTTCTACACAACACTTCCGCTTCCTCTGTGGTTTATTCTTAGGTTTTTAACTACTCTCCCTTCCTCCTCCTCACTCGTCCCCTTGGCTGGTTATGACCCACCCTTTTGGGGCTGCCTGGTTTGCTTTTTGCTGATTCAGTCCTACTAGATAAAAACCTGAGTGCCCACGGTGCCGAGCACCACGAGGGGGTCCAGAGCCATGGAAGCCTGGTACATGGCCATGCGCAGGACCACTGTTCTCACGTGGGACACACGTACTGCTCCTATGGGGAAAGTCAACCAGATCCAGTGCGGGGCAGAAAAAGAAATCAGCAACAGCTATTGCTGTAGAATATAAAAGACCCAAGAGGAGAACAGAATGGAGCCTTTACTGAAGACAACTGCCACAATGGCTCCAATTGAGTCCTTTCCTGTCCCCATGCTGCTGGTGGCGCCATTCTTTTCTCCTAGCTGCCTGCCAGACCTGAGTGGGGCCACCCTCTCCCAGCCATTCCCAACTGGGCCAGCCCAGCCCACTCACAGGCCCGGGAGGGTAATGGTTGTTTCAAGCCATTACATTTTCAGGTAGTTGCTTATGCTGGATCCTGACCCAAACAAGCCCATCGTAGAAAACCCATTGTTGAAAACAGTTGGGAACATTTTAATGTGGACCGGATAGTTGATGACACGGAGTTCTTGTCAACCCTACGAGGCTAACTATGGCACCGTGTCCTTGGTAGTCTGTGACATGCTTTAGGTTTGCTGTCAAACACTCGGGCAGAGTCGCCGAGTGGCGGGTAGATGCACCAGGGCTCCTTGCACAGCAGTTTCCTATGGGTTCTGGAGCCACCGGACGTGCGTGTGCTCACGGTGCAGGTCAGCCAGGGTTAGACAGGGCTGTGCAGCCCCGGGGAAAAGTCACCAAGGAGAGTGGAGCTGCGGGAGGAGTACAGCATGGCCGGAGCACACAGAGGATGGAAGTATCTGGAATGAAGGCAGGGGGGCTGGGAAGCACAGATGGAAACCAGGAGGGCTGTGCTTTGAAAGCCAGAGCTCCCCAAGGTACAAAAATCAAATTTTACGGAGGTGAAGCAGGTTAAGAATAATCTCCTTGACCGGAGACGAATCTTATTGGATGGTATCACTTTTCCTTGATTTTCTTCCAGAACCTATACAAATGGGTACATTTCACTTTATTCAAGATTTCCGAAGTTTATCATTGGCTTGAAAACGTGGGATTTCTGGTGAATGGGCATTATCGTAGGGCACAAGAGAAAAGATGCAGTGGAGTAAAGGCATCCGCGTGGCCAGCCCGAGGCCGTCTGGTGTCCGCCTGCCCCTGCAGGCCCGGAGGGGCAGGCAGATTGGAGGCAGGGGCGCCCACTAGGGGGTCAGGACACTAGAACAGCTTCTCGCTAGGCTATGGCGACTCCCCCACCTGTGACATGGGATACATTTCACAGGTCACAGAATTTGAGAGCCACAGGCTCCTGATTACGATCCAAGGCCTCGCAGGAACCCAGAAACGTCCGTGGTTTCCGCAGTCTGGCAGTCTCGTGAGGGGAATTTCATCACGGCTGCTCTTCCCCGGTGCCCACACGGGTGAGGAGTTTCAAGTGCACATTTCAGTGTCCAGTTCTCTAAGAGCAGGGTTGTGCCGGGCCACGCGAAGACACAGGCAGCTCTGCACACCTTGGTCCACTTAAGAGATCTGCAACTTCCCAACCAAGCCACTCCTCGGCCAGGCCGGCCCCTCCCGGCTGAGCAGCTTCCTCCACTCACCCCAGTGTCCATACACAATCTCCCGTGGGCCACGACGGGAAAGAGGCAGAGGGGCTTTGCAAGATTTAAAGGACAAGACTACTGTATATGTGGTATATGCTTTAAGAGTAAGGCACTGAGCTTGATTTATCACACTATTTTGGGAAATGACCTAGGGAATTCAAGTTCATTTAAAAAAATGTTTTAAAATTCTCAACTTCTGAGGTATGTTAACGTCTGGGTCAAAGCCGACACCACTTATGAGGGAGCATACCAGCTCCCACCGCCCGGGATTCACCTGGGAAATGGAGAAACTCCTCTGCCCACCTCCCACCCTCACCAGCATAGCCTGCAGCAGCGGAGAGGGGCCCAGATGAGCTGATAGATGGGGGGCGTCAGGACCGTGAGTCAGATGAAGTCCTATTCCACTGCTGTGTGAGCCCACACACTAAACAGCTCAGACTTGGCAGTCAGGTAACCTGAAGAGAACTTCACGGTGCAGACGGATCTCAAACCGAAACCTCTCTGTTCAAAGTAGAGAGCAGCCAAGCTTCCCTCCAAGTTCAAAGAAAACAGGGTAATTGGAGGTTACTGCAATGCTTACTTTACGCTTCTTTTAAGAATGACTTACCTTCTTGAAAGTGACTGCAAAGGGCTCCTTCGGCTTTTTGGAGACAGCTGGCTGCCTCTGAGACTTCAGATCACAGCAGAATCCTGCCCCCAGGTGCTGGGCTAAGCGGATGTTTGGCTGGCCCCTTGGTAAAAGTCATTAAGGGAACCGGACGGGGCGCCTGGATGGCTCAGTCGTTAAGCGTCTGCCTTCAGCTCAGGTCATGATCCCAGGGTCCTGGGATCGAG